TGGAAACCCAAAATCTCTGTAAATGTTTATGAAAATTAATAAAATATAGAAGAAGAAAAAAAAAGAGCGCTAGTGGCACAATGGTTAAACAGTTGGCTAACTCCAAGATTGCAGGTTCTGACCTGCCTGCAGCGCCATGGGAGAAAGTCTATAATGCCATGAGTCAGAACCGACTCATGGCTGACCCTTCATGACGTTTTCAGAGGCTGTAAAGCACACGGGCGGAGATTGTCCATCTTTCCCCTTCAGAGCTGGTGGATTCAAACCACGTGCCTTTGGGTTGGCAGTGCAACTCCTTACCACTAGGCCACCAACCATTCCCTCTTGCAGATTTAACAGTCCAGGAACCTCGGAAGGGCAGCTCTACTCTGTCCTTTAGTCATCACCTATGGATCCAGAGTCGGGATCTTTTTAATGGCATCCCATCACAGCAGGCCTTTGTCTACATCTCATAAACTAATGAAGGTATTAAAACTTTAGCCCCACTACCCCTTCCCACTGAGACCCTGATTGTAGTAAAACAGAAACAGATGGCCTTTTGGTAGTAGCTTGTTATTTTTCTGTAAAGAAACCATAGGTTCTCGCCTCTTCTTGTTTTCACCTTGTACATGTTATGCATGACTTTGATGCATGTCTTAACCAGAGACCAAGATGGCCATGCTGCTATCACTTAAGACTGATCTTAGGAGACAACTAATGTTCTCCTCCAGTTACCACCCAGAAGAATGGCTACAGCATCAACTCTTCAAAAACCAGGCGCCATAGTGCACCACCTGCCCCTACACCCTTGCCCCATCTGTGGTTATTACTATCACATACTTAACACCTAGAGAGACATAAACATAATTTTTCTTTGATTTTTCAGCTGACAAAGCACTTATTGATTGCTGTAGATTCGAGCATGGCTCACAGCGACCCTGTGAACAAAAGGCCTTAAAAAGCCCTTCTGTTGCCATTTATTGCCATTTATCAAAGTTCATAGAAAAAAAATAAGTTCATTCCAGAGGCATGCTGTTTAGGAAGAGGATGTCACTCCTGGTTAACAAAAGCACTAGGTCCAGACAAAGAAAGAAAGAGATTTTTTATTAGCATTGTTACAGGCAATGCGTTACATATGAACTGATCCTTAAAGTGTACAACCCCAACCAAGCTTTAAGCAGAGAAATCAGTAGAGTGAAATCTATATTGTACACAAGTGCAGAAATAGGATCACTCTGAACTTCAAACAGAAGACTGAAAATCACTTTACAAAAAAAGTAAATAAAAATAACACCCATTTTTTGTTTTTATATTTAAAAAAGTGCCAGCTCTTCAGTGGCAGAGCATCAAAAATACCAAAGGATCGTCCAATTAACTTGGTAATGCTCGAATATTGAACTGTTCATCCCCTATATGGGCCAAGCCTGTCCTGGTTTTTAAAGCTTAATTTAAGCATTTCTTATTGTCATCTTTTGGAGCACTAAAGTTTCTCTTTCTCTACTATTATGAATTTATTAAATGTGTCAGCCTAACAGTTAGCTAACCTTCATCAGTTACAAGTGTTAAGACCAAAGATTTTCCCTTTGTAAGGCTTAACTCTGAATACAGTGAAGAATGAAGAAACCAAACACCAGAGTCTTAGAAAGTCAAATGATAGCGGAGCCAGTGCCAATTTAGAAAAGCGCTTTTACCCTTACCTTAGAGTTCTACTTTGGTAAATATTAATATTTAACCAGTTAGCAAAATATTTAACCAAGTTAGCAAAATTAACACCGTCATTCCATAGTTAACTCTTTTGTGCATAGTTATGTTGCAAGATGAACTTCACATTTGATAAAGCAGACTTGGAAAACAGTTTTGCAAGAAAGGATGCCTCCCTTTCAATACCAATTTAAGCTCAGGGAAAATTAATATAGACCTCTTGCAACTGCTGTTGATCTACGGTGGTGGAGAGCGTGTGTGAATGCTAAATCGTCTGATACCCAGCATGACTTCTCTTCCTGCCAATGAGATATGCAATCAGGACGATGAGGACAAGTCCTGCGAGGGCGCCACCTACAGCAATGGGGATCAGCATGTTATTTTCATCCAGCTGACATTCTTCCACTGAAAAGAAAAGCAAAGGTGCACAGGTCACATTTGTTTTCACCATTCAGATCTTCTAAATAAGTATATCTTTGCACCTCACCTCTTCCCACTCTCCAACAGGGCAATGAACATGAAACCTGGGTAGGAGACTACAAATTCCAATTAACAATTATGTAGAAGTGAATGGAGCTTTCTGCATGGCTGCAAAGTCACGGTCCCACAAATGCACCCTAAGGCTAAGTGTTCAGCTGCTGAAGGTCTGCCATTCAAACCTACCAGCTAGCTCCTATAGAGACACCTTCCACTAAACACTACCAGACAGTTCTACTCCAGCCAACAGTCAATGCATTGGAATCAATCAATGGCACCCAACAATATGGTGCCACATTAGTACAAAAAACTGCCAGTCAGTTGTCACTGAAGCAAGAAAGCTGTGCTGCAATCAGGGCCATTAAGCAGAATGCTGCTGTTATGTACTGCTGGGTAGGAAATGACTCATAGCTGACCCTTCAGAAGGCTTTCAGAGGCAATAAATCACATAGACTGCCCATGAAGTAGCTGGTGGATTCTAACAGCATGCCTTTGGAATCACAGTGCAGCTTCTTATAGTAGGCCACTAGAGCCTTCCAATATATCTATGTTGTTGTATGTGCCCTTGAGTAGGGTATGACTCAAAGCAACCCTATGAACAATAGATCTGAACCTTCTCCTATCCTGTGTCATCATCTCTGATACACTTGAGCACACTGCCACAGTCACTGTATTAATCCATCTCTTCCAAGATCTTTCTATATTTTGCTCACCCTCATTTCCAAGCATGCTGTCCCTCTCCAAGGAAACAGCCTCTCCCAGCAACATGCCCTAAGTATGAGATGAAGCTATGTCATCCTTGCCTTCAAGGAGCATTCTGGCTACACCCTCTCCAAGATGTATTTTGCTCTTTTGGCAGTTCACAGGATATTCAGCACTGCTCTCCAACACCATGAGCTCAAAGTCATCAATTCTTCTCGGTCATCCCTATTCGCTGTCCAACTCTTGGGCACACAACAAGTGACTAAAACGACCAGGGCCTGAGCCAGGCACACTTTAGTCTTCAAACTGACACTGCTCTTCAGTAAGGAGAAGTCCCTGACAGTAGACTTGCCTAATGCAATATGTTTCCTGACTGCTGGTACCAATGTTGATTGTGGATCTAAGTAAGATGATACTGTTGACAAATTCAATCTTTTCTCCATCTTTCATTATTCTGTTTATCAATCTAGTGGTGAGGATTTTTGTTCTCTTCACGTTGAGATGCAATCCATATTGAAGGCTGTAGTATTTGCTCTTCTGCAGCAAGTTCTTCAAGTCTTCCTCACTTTCACCAAGTAAGACTGTGTCATCTACGTAACAGGGGTTTATGAGTCTTCCTCTGATCCTGATGACACATAACCTTCACAGAATCCAGCTTCACAAAGGATTTGCTCACACCACAAGATAAACAACCCAATTACAAAATAGGCACAGGATATGAACTGACACAATAAGACATTCAGATGGCTAACAAGCACATGAAGAAATGTTCAAAACCCCTACCTCTAAGACAGATGCAAATCAAAACAACTATGAGATACCATCTAACCCCAGTAACAAAAGCAAAATTCAACACAGCAGTAAACAACAAATGCTTGCGAGGTTGCGGACAAACTGGAACCCTTATTCATTGTTGGTGGAAGTGTAAAATGGTGCAACCACTGTGGAAAGTGGTGTGGTGCTTTCTCAAAAATTTGCAAATAGAGATACCATTTGACCCAGCATTTCCACTACTGGAAATATACCTTAAAGAGACCATAACCAACATCCAAGCAAAAATATGTACACCCATGTTTATCGCAGCTTTGTTCACAATAGCAAGGAGTTGGAAACAACCTAAGTACCCATCAACAAACAAGTGGATAGAGAAGCTGTGGTATATATACATAATTGAATACTGTGCTGCATTGAAAAGCAAGGAACTCATGAAATATTATACAAAACGGGTGACCCTGGAGGACATTATGCTGAGTGAAATATATCAGTCACAAAAGGACAAATACTGCATAGTGCCACTGTTGTAAACTGGGACTGACATCAAGGTTGAGGAGAATCTAAGAAAAGAGGGGATAAATAATGTACACTGCATTGAAACAGATGAGGGAGAGAACTGTATAAAAGAAATATAAGATTAGGTATTATTTTCATGACAAGAGTCCAGAGTAAAAGCTGCACAGTTAAGTGGATTGGGAGATGGGGACTGTATAACAATGAAAAAATTTTTTTCTTTTCAAAGAGGAAAGAGGAGGTGGGGGCAGGGAGGAAAATGTGCAATAATGAATGAATGGAAATCCAAATCTATAAACTTTCATTAAAATCTTAATTAAAAAACCAAAACAAATCAAAGAATTTGCTCAGCATACAAACTGCACAGGTACAGACAAAGGATACAACCTTGATGCACAGTTTTCCTGAGTTTAAACCATGCAGTGTTCCCTTGCTCCTTGTGAGGCAGATTAAGTAGATGTATTTTTATATTCAACTCTCATAGAAGAACCACAACTATTTCTTAAAATATTATTCTTATGCTGTGCCATGTGTTCATATCTCAGATAATGGTGAGCCTTTCTAAAAGAGAATACAGGAAAGGCAATTTTCCCCTCAAAAAAATTAAGAACGGAAAACAGCTCTTTGTAGAGAAATATGTAGTTTCCACCACCAACTCCTTGCTCCCAACATAGAAGCTATTTAGTATCCAAAATAGAACCACAGGATGTGAGGACTGTGAAAGGGTCTTAAACACTTCAGTGCCTACCGCCACCGTGAACATCCAAGTCAGTGCTACGTACCAGAGCCAAACTCGTTGCCCTCCACCTTGAAAGCCTGGACCCAAACGCTGAATATGTTGACAGAAAATGCCTGTGTAACTTGAATGCTCTCCTCCGCATTACATTTGTAAGAATTCCCAACAGTGGCTTGAAGTGCCCTCAGTGACTCATTGGCAGCCTTAAAAGCAGGGTCTGCAAATGCATTTAAGAAATCTGGTTATTTGGGGAAATCCTGGGTGGGGAGGCACATTTCTATAAATTATGGAGTCTTACCTTTGGCGTCAGAAAGCGTTGTAGTTAACTGGATTCCTTGTAGGAAAAACTGGTTAGACGTTGTATTCTTAAAGAGAAAGAAAATAATCCTGAATCAAATATATTAGATTCATTTTTGGGAGGGGAGGTTGGTCAAAGTTGAGAGGCCATATGATAATATTTACTTTTAATATTTCTAGTTTTAAAAAGGATCTATGATTGAATTTTGTACAATCAATGACCTATTCATTGCAAATACGTTTTATAAGAAACATAAACGCAGGTTATACACATGGATTTCACCTGATGGTATGCATAGAAATCAGATCGATTACATCTGCGGAAAAAACCGCTGGAGAAGCTCAATATCA